TTAGATAAGTCTTGATAAGTGCTGCAAAGAATGCAGCAAATGCAAGTCAAGTTAATTCATCATCAAGGCGTTTGTTTCCCAGAAAAGGAAGGACACACAAACTGATGGTTCCTATCAGCGTGTCATGTCTAAAGTTTATCGACTGAAACGGGCTCGGCAGCACTTGCAAAAGTCAGGAAACTGTGGACATCGGGCGTAAACGTCGTTGTGTGCGACAGACTGCTCTTTACGATCCCTGGCAGCTAAAAGGCCAGTGGAATGTGTAAGAGTGTCTAAAGGTCAAAGAAGCACTACTGCAGGGAGGATCCTAATCAGTTCATCTGGACAGCCTTTCCCCCGACTCGTTTGGTGTGGCTGTGTGAGTTTCAGGCAATCTGTGCGGCACTGTAGGGGAGCCTAAAGCGAGCCCTCTGTGACAGCATCATGTTTCAGGCGGTCTTTGACTGGAACCAAGTTCCAGACCACCAGAAGCGAATGCAAACGTTAAAAGTCTGGAAATAGAAGTCACTGTTTTAGATTAGAAAACTGAGCCGTACTCAAAGCAACCCCCCCCGATGCTTTTTCTTCTAGGACTTCTAAACAGGAGCCTCACAGTTAACGGCGCACACCCCGTCTCACACACACATTGTCCTTATATCCACAAAAGAAGAAGAGTTGGTAGGGGGAGTAGGGTGGGGTGAATCGGGGTGGGGGTGAGCCATGTGAGTGCACAAGAAATTCAATTAAGCAGACAGCGGGATAGCTCCACAACCCAACCTCCTTTGAGCACAATGTGCCCTCCAACAGTCCCGGCTCCGCTCCCAAGCTTCCCAGCCAACCCCTTACCGCCATTCAGCCACTCCCCCAACGCCACCAAGACCCACTGAGGACCCTTTGCTGGGCTCCCTTTCATGCACCCCCCTACCTCCCCCCACCCTCTTCCCAGTTGTCTCTTTTGCCTCAAAGGAGATGGAAATCTTTAAGATGTGCAAGAGCCAAGATGGAAAAATGAATTTAATAGTTGACATTAAAAAGTTTAAGGCTACTTAGCTAAAAAAAGAAAGTTGTTAGTTTTAGACACACAAACAAAATCTCTTCTTTTTGTTTCCTGTGTGTGTGTGTGTGTGTGTGTGTGTGGCAAGCTGACAGATGCTGTTCATTTAGCACTTGTGCAGCAATCCTCGAGCTTGTCTCCTAAATGCCCAGGGGAGCCACTGGCATTTGGACAGCATTAAATAAAAAGCCACTCTGCAGACCTCACACCACGTCCAGCTCTGACCTCGCAAAGATGGCCACTCCACTCGGATTTCAACCGGCCAACTGACTAAATCTGTGCCGGTGAAGAAGCCCGTTCCACTCCCCCTCCCCTCAGCTTCGCTCTGGCACGTAACAGGTAGCCGGGCCGCTACTCGAGCAAGGTTTTAAGAATTATTTACTCGGGGTGGAAGCGATGAAACACCTGCTCGACCGGCACGCTTCAGGGTAAAGCAATCTAACGTGTGTAAATAACAGCTTCCTATGAGAGTAGCCTTGCTTTTTCCTGACATGTTAGGAAATGTCAATAGCTGTTCTGTTACTTACCAGACTCGCGCTGTTTACAGCACGAGGATAATTTGCGATTCTCAGGGTTGTTTGGGACGACGCAGCGTCCGTCTCATTACAAATGCATAGGTTTTAACAATGAGATAATAAACCTCTCAAATGAGGCGGCCCTTTCCCATGCCGGCGTATTGTTAGAAATGTGTACATCATTGTCAGCGATGAACACACAGAGCTCGAGACTCAGGGGCGCACAATGTCACACACACACTCGCTCATAAAGGCTGAGAGAGGCGCTAAGCTGCCGCAGACACAATGTGGATGTTACATAATAACAGCCGAGCACAGACCGAAATGTTGCGTGTTGTGCGAGTGTACGTGCGCGTGTGTTTACGGATTAAGAGCCCCCTCGTTCATGCAACCATTCTTTTATATTGTGTTACCTTCACGGTTTTCTCAGCGCACAATTCCAGGAATGTCCAATGGACAACATGTGACCGGTGTGATCTGATTTGAAGCTGCTCGCCCTGTCCTTGTAAATCGGGGTAAAATAAGGTCCAACCCCCCAAACACACACACGCGAAACAGACTTTATTCTTCTTGCAAAACAGATCACAGTGTGTTATGAGCCCGTGTGCTTGCTAAACGAGGCTTAGTGTCCTGTTCCATCATGGCTTTTTCATCCCCACTTGCAGCTTTCAGTCGTGTATTTAGGTCTTAAAAACAGGGACATTGACTTCTGGTCTCAAGCCACGCATTTCAAACGGGGGCCCTAAGCAGATATGAGTCCTCTTCCACAGCCAGAGACAACAAAGATAATCAGTGAACAACCCCAAAGAGAAAAAAAATCAGTCTGCTTGATCCCCTTTTGAAAGCTATTAAGATAAGTCTCCTTCACTGAGAAGCACAAGTGCAGTGACCTAAATCAGTGCAGACATAAATGACAGGTTGGTGTGGGGGCTGAAAAGGCCACTTAAGAGATGCTGTGTGTTTCATAATCACCCCAATCAAGACTTTACAGTGAGGTTAAGCCAAGACCCCATGGGTGTTAGTCCATCCCAACAGTTCTGATCAGCATATGCGGCCACAGCAAGCGCAGTAACTACACAGTGTGTCTATTAGCAGCAGAGCCCAGGAATACAGGTGTAAGGGCCAATTCCCCATTGTTTAAAGCAGGGGTGTCAAACTCAAATACACAGTGGGCCAAAATTCAAAACTGGAACAATAAATATCAATAAATTAATATTTATTGAAAAATAAATCTTCCTCCAGATTTAAGAATGAATCTCTTCTTATGGACTCAAGTTTTGCTGAAAAACTGAATATGGAAGAAGCAAAGCTTAATACTAAACAATATATATTAGCTGTATAATACCAGTAGGCCAGCTCTAATAATAATTTGGTATGGCTTCCAAATGTAATTAGGCTGCGGGCCAGAGTTTGACACCTATGGTTTTAAGAAAGAATTGGACCAAAGTTTTTATTTAGGAACTTTTAGATTCCGATTAGTCGACGACTGCTCTACTTCCCTACAGAAACCCCATAATGTGGGGCGTGCATGATGACTGTGGCATCCAGGTGTGTTTACAAGTGCATGTACTCACCATTCAGTCCATTGGGGATGCTTCTGTGATGATGTGGCGCTGATAGGTCATCCATGGATCTTCTTATCGTGGTCCCCATCTTACCGTTCTCTGTGGGCTTGTGCATGTGGTTGTGGTTGTGATTGTGGTGATCGGGGCTACCGGCACTTCCTGTGCTGGACGTGCTACTCCCATCTCCAACATCCCTGACCGTGTTGGTGCCCCCGTTCAGGTTGGTCAAGCTGGACTGACTATCTATGGAGCTCCGGGACCCTGCCCCATTCCTCTCTTCATCCAGCATGAGGATGATCTCCTTCAGTTCAGAGTTCTCCCTCAGCACAGTCTCCTGGTTGGCCTCCAGCTCTTTGAGCTTCATCATGTAGGTGCCCACCTCCTTCCACATGGCGCTGGCTGTGTAGCGGCCGAAACGCTGCCACTCCCGGGACAGCTTCTTGCCCTTCTGTCGGTCGTCGTCCAGGAAGCAGCAGAGTTCCCGGAGCTCGTGGTTGTCATCTTGGAGCTTCTGGTTGATCTCCTTCAGGTTCCGGATTTCATGAAGGTGCACCTGCAGCCGCCGGTTAATGTCCTTCATCATGTTGCCATGCTCGATCATCAAGTTCATTTTCTCGCCGTCAACCCTCCTTAATTTCCTAACCAGCTCGTCTTTGCTGCACCGCAGCAGCTCATCGTCCGTCAGCTGGCTCAGGTCATCCTTCGGCCCCTCGGACGGATTTTTAGCCATGACTGTGGCGGCTGCGAGTCTCAGTTCGTTTATGCAGCTGCTTAAAATTAACTCTCAGAAACTCACTAACCTAACCTCAATTGCGGAATCGTGTTAAAAAATGAATACATTGTCCAAAAAAGAGGGAAAAAAATCAGAAAAGTATCGATAATGCCCTGATCTTCAACAGGCCGATAATAAAACTGAAAGAATAAACAACACAAATATGACTGTGGTGCTTCCACAACCCGAGCTTTTAAAGAAATGACACCACTGATCTGGTAAAATAAATAAAAATACTCACAGGAACAACAGTTGGTGGTCACAGTCGGTCAGAAACAAACAAGCGATATAAAATCGATTATCAGGGATTTCCGATCACCGAGTCCTGTCGGCAAAAACACAGCGACCCGTAACAGTGTGCACCGTCTCTGCTGGACATCACAACATTCACATGATGGAAAACGTGAAATCCGCCAGCTTCTTCCTTTACGTTTAGGTGAATTCAACCTAATTTCGCGCAAAAACAGCGAATGTTCGAGTAAAACCCGCAACCTATGAGAAAAGTCCTCTTGGACGTGTTTCACCGTCTCCTCGGATAAAAGCGTCTTCAGTGAGGCGGTGTGATAGTGGACGGACGACTCAATCCTTTCCACCCAGCAGCCTCTGAATTATCAGTGGACCCCCCGCCTCTCTCCTCCCTCTTGTCCAAACACTCGGGTTTGAAATCATTCAAGAGGATTCAGCTCGAGACGACCAATCAAGACGTGCGGGAGAAGTGGGCAGCAGGTAGATGAAAAAGTGCGGCGCAGCCTCGCGGAGCTCAGGCTCGGCCTTCTTAAAGGTACAGGACGACGCGCTCGCCGTAAAAACACACTGGATTCATTAAAGAAGAAAAATCAGACTACGCCTCACGACTTTTATTCTTTATTGTTAAATGAAGCACAGATGTATTGTGTACTTTTAATAGCCGTGATTTCGTTGACAATACTTGAGCATTGAAAAGCTGGGCTGGTTTACTGAAATGAAGCCCCAAAATATTCATTTAGTTAAAAATCAAAAATACTTTAACCTATGACAGTAGGCTTTAGCTACATGCATATTTGATTAAAGATTAAAAAAATATTATCATCTGTGTTTAAACCAGAGACAACTTCTGGGAGAGTTCTTTTTCTGAACATTGAATTTAAACAGCTTTTTAAAAGTCAGAGATCTCTGCAAGATCTCAGCGCCCCCATGTGGACAGTGTTCGTAAAGGCATTAAGACAGCAAATCGGGTACAGAAATGTAAAACACGCTTGTTTCCAAATGATTTCCATTTACACACATATTAGTGTTGTAGGCACAAAGAGGTTTGTGGTTATGAAAAAAAAGTCACTACACACCGCTACATGATGAGTTTGTGCATGATTAAGCAAACAAGTGCAAATGGTATTTAACCCAGCTGTCCCCATCAAAAAAATATGATCTATATTGTAATGAAAAAATAATAATTATCACCATCATTTAATTTCGCTTTACCATGTAATTCATATCTGATACTGTTTTTATTATAACGATTTATTTTTTTAATCGCAGCTTTTAGGCAGGAGTAGATCAACACAGTTTTACCTTATAGACCACTAGGATTTCTTTTTATGTAAAGTCCTTTAAGATCATTTATTTTTGTAATCCCTGTGACTCAAAGTGCACAACACTCCACTCTTTGGTCTGAGTGTGCCAGCATCCAGGATGTCAAAGGTCTGTCCCGGGACAAGAGTGAAGTCAAACCTCTGGAGCAGTTTGGCCATCACCACTTTAGCCTCCATCTAAAAAACACAACAGCGCCCACAGAGATGAGTCAGTGTGTTTATAGGTGAGTGGGTCTTCATGTTGACTTACACTGTCATCCTCACCTGAGCAAAGTTCTGTCCCAGACACGAGCGAGGACCGAGGGCAAAGGGGTAGTAGCAGTAATAAGGCCTTGTTGAACAGATAAGAGACAGCTTCAGTTACTGTGAACCGTTTCACTCATTTAGTCTAAGATAATAAAGTGTTTGCAAACATGAAACGGAATAAAGTCAGCATGGTGAAACAGTGTTTTTCTTACTTGGGAGCATCTGGGTGAAATCTGTCTGGATCAAATCTCAGTGGATCCTTGAAGAATCTCTCCAGTCTCCCGCTCACATAGGAGCTGAACTAAATATGAGAAGATTTAATTTCACATTTTAACCATAAAAAATGGTTGTTCTTTCTTGTTTGTTTGTTCTTTGTTCTTTCTTGAATAAGACCTCATTTTTTATGTTTTTCTGGCAACTTTGTGACAATTTTGTTTATACATACACTACCAGTCAAAGGTTTGGACATATCTTCTTATTTTCTTTATTATGTTTTTTCTTTTTTTCATGACTATTTACATTTCAGATTCTCACTGAACACATCAAAACTGTGAATCAACACATTTGGCATTATGTAGTAAACAAAAAATGTGAAATAACTCAAAACATGTTTATATTTTAGATTCTTCCAAATAGCCACCCTTTGCATTCTCTCGATGAGCTTCTTGAAGTCATCGACTGAAATGTTTTTCCAACAGTCTTGAAGGAGTTCCCAGAGATGCTGACACTTGTTGACTCTCTTGCCTTCACTCTGCGGTCCATCTCATCCCAAACCATCTCCATTGGTCAGGTGACATCTGGTGCAGCCCTCTAGCACTCTCCTTCTTGGTCAAATAGCCCTTACACAGCCTGGAGGTGTGTTTGGGGTTTAGTGTGCCTTCAAGTCTGAATAAATCCCCCACACCATCACACCTCCTCCTCCATGCTTCATGGTGGGAACCATGACGTTTTGTGCATCACACAAAGACACAGCAGGTGGAACCAAAGATCTCAAATTTGCACTTATCAGACCAAAGCACAGATTTCCACTGGTCTAATGTCCATTCGTTGTGTTTCTTGGCCCAAACAAATTTCTTCTGCTTGTTGCTTTTCCTTAGTCATGGTTTCTTAGCAGCTATTTGACCATAAAGGCCTGAACCCTGACAAGGCAGACCTGTGAAATGAAACCACTTCATGTGCCTACATCATGAAGCTCATTGAGAGAAAGCCAAGAGTTTACAGCGCTGTCAACAAAGTTAAGGGACTTGAAGGACTCTATAAAACATATTTAGAGTTATTTATCTTTTTTTCTTCGCTACATAACTCCATATATCTTGCTTCATATATTTGATGTCTTCAGTATGTATTTATCATTTATACTTACAAACATATTAAAAAGAAAATGACTCACAACAACGCTAAATCCCCCGGGTATGTGGATACCGTCAATCACCATGTCTTCAGCAACGTCACGAGACGTGCCCGGAGCTGTGGGGTAAATTCTTAGAGTCTCCTTTAACACCTGAAGGAAGGTTACAATGAGAAGTGCACACTTTGGGTGAGTTATTAAAATAAATAAATGAATAACTAAATTTACATGTACCTGTGACAGGTAGACCAGCTCTCCTAAGTCGTCATAGCTTATGTCACGTTTCATCCCAATGACATCATCGACCTCTTTCTT